TCAGTGATGATCACACGATTACTAAAATGAATTTCAATTTCAGAAGAACAAAATTTGGAAGAGATATGATCAAATCGATCAACTATCAACATCACCGTCATCGCAGCGAAGAATCAAAGTGAATATCAATAAAATCAATGATAGCAATGATCATAATAGCAATAATAATAACAATATCAATCCTAATATAAGCATCAAAAATAAGTCCTTATCACGACATCGTCGGCCATCAACGTCCAAATACAATCAGCCTTTGAGAAAATATAGAATTTATACCAGTCGCACACTAAAACCAAAAAACAATGATGAACATATCCAGAAAACCAATAACGATATCAATAATGATAGATATAATAATAATTATAATACCTACGATAAAACGACCAACAACAACAACCGGCCACTGATTTTATCACCACAACATTGTGCGAAGGTAAAAATCATGATATTGTTAACAGTTTCATTGATATCGTTTTGCAAAACATGCTTATTAATAATAGTAATCATAATATAATAACAATAATGATAATAATAATCATGGTAATAATAAACAAATAATAATATTAATAGTGATAACAATAAAATCAATAATATTAACAGCAATAATAATAGTAATCATAATTACAGGTTAAACTTTACGCGGGAATATATCGAGTCGGGAAAATAACGGACTGGGTAAAGCAGAATTGTAGTCTTGCGAAGTTATTCTTGCCGAAAGCTAGTTGTGAAGAGATTAATACTCTTGTTGCTTCGTGTCATCTTTAGTAATTGTGCTTAATAAATATTGCGAGTCGTCAGCATTGAACTGATGGTGCTGAAGAGCGAGTATTTGATAGATATTAACGTGATGATATCCATGACCGGTCAATCTGCCTAAAGACATTTTGCCTAACGACCATTTGGCTAAAGACACATTGCCTAACGGACAGTTTGCATAAGAGTCGAGATTTCATCTAGATCATCCTTTTCATATCAACTGTATGCAGCCGACACGTCATATTCAGACGACCTGCACCATTAGATCATCTTATCACGACAGCAATTCTTCATCCATTTTCCAGAACGTC